GTTATTATTATTACTATTTCTATTATTGCTAATATTATTACTACTGCTATTATTGTCGTTAGTATTTATTTATTTACCAGTCAGAAATTTGTGTTTCAATGGCATGAAGGGACTTTCAAAAGATGTTCACCGGATTTTAAATAATCTTTATTTCTATGGAGCTTAACACATATTGTGGGAAAGCAGCCTCAGTGATGAGCAGGAAAATAATATAATCAATTATGTAAACTTATGGTATTAATACACAATTATGGTATTATATACGCAGCTCTAGAAGACAATAGTGTCATTATTTAGTCAGTTCAGTGTTGGTTCAGGTCAGATCAACATCAGTGTGAAGATCATCAATTTGAAACAAGTTAAATTCAGCCAAATTCTGTTGGTTATTCAGCTTGAGTCAGTTCAGCAACGGTTCCGGTGTTGCAATATGTGATTCATCTGTAAAGCAGCTCTACAAAAGAATAATAATTCCGTTTTGTTCTCATTCGATGGTGTCAGTCAGTGCATTTATATTGATAAATCACTGAATGTTAAGTGTCTTTTAGTCCCCAACTAAACAAGCCAAACGGTGACAAGGAATTCAAACTCCATCAGATCGCCTCCGGTCTAAATGGATGAAGATGGTGTGATATTGTTTGATACGTCACACCGGCATTAGATGGGAAGAAAGAGTTGTAGCCTGCTCAGCAGGTTTGAAAGCATGAAGGTAGAGTTGAGGTTTAGCCAGTAGTAGGCTTATCTGTGGCCTCAAGCACGATGAACATCTTTCTTATGTCCCAGCTGGTCCTGGCATGATGCATTTTTACACGCGTGTGTGCATGAAACTTTATATACCCAGTTAGTAATATAGACACAACCATTGTTTGTCTGAGCATCCCAGTCTGGGCCGTGTGGGTTCTGGGTAAATTATTTCTTCACGGCATGAGCTGTGTTTCAAAACGCACTGGACTTATCTGATGCATGGATGATTCAAACACATTGTTTTCTATGAGTGTACGCCCACATAGCTAACGCTGCTTAACATTATGCCACGCCACTCCCTTAGACTTCCATTTAATTACGTTAAATGGTATTTGTCTCAGGTCATTGTTAATGTACATATTGACTTCACCCTAGGATAGAAGATGAAAACCTTAGTAATAAGGTTATGTTTTTGTGTTTTGACAGCTTGTATAAAAGTTATGCTACATATAGGAAAATTGCATAATATACACTGTGCTTTCTAATCTCTCTGCTTGCACTGCTGTACCTCAAACTCATGGATCGCTTGGCTGTATGGTGATTAGATGTGACTAATACACTGTGAACGACTGAGCCATTGCATTCTATTCATGTGTTGCCTAACTAAAGATCTGGGCTCTTATATCTTTGCTCTCTTGTGAAAAAGTACTTATTATGAAAATAATAGACTTTAAAAGACTTTACTTAAGTGTGAACTGAATGTAATGTTTTCAGACACTTTAATTGCATGCTTTAATTTTCAATATTATTATATTAAATGCTATTAGATTCACTTTAGAGTGCATTTTGACCTACTTAAGTAGGACTAAAGTACACCTTTATGTGTAATTTCACAATCACTTACACAGTCTTACGGTGCACTGCCGAATGTACTGACAAGCATTTATGATAAACTAAAATATACTTTGTCATTTCTACTGATACAGGATAGCTGGCATTACGTCAGTGACTTCTTACAAAGGCAATAGCATGATGTTAGGTTAAGATGTAAGTTATTGTGCATCTTTAGGTGCTGCTGCTGAAAGTACACATATTCACTCAGTAAATGTGAGGTCATTAAAGATGGGTGCATAATAATTACAAAAGAATTAGTAAATGCAAATGCATATGTCACACTCAAAGTATGTCAACTTCCAAAAAGTATTTCATGTCCAGGACCTTACTTATAGTCCTGCTGATCAGGGCTGTGTTTCCCAAAAGCATCGTTAGCTAACTATGGTGGCAGGTTCCATTGAACTCTATCGGTAAGGATGGAGCTGGCGACCATAGTTGTTTTTGGGAAACGCACCCCAGTAAAGGTGCCCTCGACAGACACGGTTTTGAGACAAAACGAGGCTTGGGCATTGCTGGGTACATTTGTTGGCTGGATAAGTATAAAACATGTTATACTTCAGCTGTGCCTTACAACCCCAATTCCAGAAAAGTGGGGACGTTTTGTACAATGCCATAAAATCAAGTGTCTGTGATTGGTTAATGCTCTTTAACTTGAAAAGCATTAAAGTGAAAAAAGAAAAGATTTCCAATATATTTTGTAAATGCAAAAAAATTTGGATGTTGATGGCTGCAACACATTGATGCCAAATGAATGTGAAAATGTCCAAATTAGACTGTGTTGAAACCTTTCACAGTAAGCGGGTGATAAATAATCTGTTCAAGATAACAGCCTCTAACAGTGACGTGAAACACTATGATAGTCCTATTATTAATGCAGTCTATGCATTCAGTGATAATTATGTCTGAATTTGTTCTCCTGTTTATTGTGAGCGCTCTGAATGGCATGTGCATCGCTCTCCTTCACAGAAGAGCAGAAGGGGAAAAAAGAGCCGCTTCAGAGCGCCGGTGACTCAGGAATGCGAGACAGGAATGCCGTCGAGTTTGACTGAACACAATGTCTTTGTGTTTTGGTTCAGGGCTCTAGTCACGCAAACCTGCAGCAGCTCCTCTGCGCTCGGCTCAGGTGCCGCTGGCTTGAGCTGGACTCCTGCCAGAAGAGCTGTTGCTATTACAGCAAAGAGTAGTGGATCGGGGGGCGAAGTCACTTTGAACTGGCTCCACTGCACCACTACTAGTTATTTAGCCTTTATCCAACGCGACTGACATTGCAATTATGGGGACATCTTCTCAGCTTACGTGTCTTGTGCATGCAAGTGTTTGTGGATCAAACTAGTGATATATTGCATTTAATAATTCACGTTTTGGGGTTACTAGCATACTAGATAACTGGCTTATTTTAAGAGAAGTTGTCATGTCAAAGCACATCTTCAGTATCACTTATGTTTAAGTAGGCACTGTTAATAGTAGTGATTTTCACAACTGACCGATCCTTATTCCCAAACCTGCTCCTCAGTTTAGCAGTCGAGTGTAGAGGTGGGGAATGAAAGCATGTCTGGAGCTGACGGAAGAGCGTGAACGAAACCATGATTCACTCTTTTGTGTGGTGTGACGACAGCAGATCTTATCTGACTCACGCTCGGCTGCTCACACGCGATGCTGTCATTAACACACACACACACACACATGCCAAACACAACACATGCATCCCAGAAGATGCTCAAGCAGACGCTGTTCACACCTGTGCTGGTCGAGCCGGGTTTTCATTTTGGTGAACTGCTGCCGCATCGAACACAATGAAACACACAATACAGTCTAAAGCACAGGCGGACTGAATATTGGCAGTGAATAATTGTGCAAATGGCACATAATAACAAATGCATTCATGCCCAGAAGCGCTTTGGATGCACGTTTGCTGGTAATTAAGCTCTACTAAACAAATACATCTGCCACTTTATATATACTTACCTCAATAATAATAATAATAATAAGGCAAGGCGAGTTTATTTATATAGCACATTTCATATACAGAGGTAACTCAAATCTTTACGAAAATTAACCATGGTTTTGCCACACTAACCATAGTTTAACCATGTTATTTGTAGTAAAACTGTGCTTATACAAATGGTAATCAATACGCCAAAAAACCATGGTTACTACACTTTTGCTACAATAAAATCATGCTTAATGTTCGTGAGCAAAGTGCATTACAGAAAAAGAAAAAAGTTTCATGAGATATAAAAATAAACAGATACAATACAAGTAAGAAGTAAGACCTGAAAAAGAACGAGTTCAAATGAAATAAGACTCAGCATTAAGAGAGATAAAGGGATTAATAATAAAACTGTTTTGGCACTTACTGTATTGCAAAACACTTTTGCTGGTGCATAAGGTTTGTCATTATAGATGTAATAACAGAAAAATAATTACAGATGTGATTTCACGCAGCAATTTTTAAAACATAAGTACAAGGTAAACCCCGAATGAGTGCGTTCTGTGGAATTAGTCAGCAGTTAAAGGGCCCGTGCAGCTGAACTGACTACACTTCCCACAGTGCAGTGCGGCGGTGGGTGTCATGTGATGCTTGTAGTCCGCCGGCGCTCGCTGAGCTCGGGCAGAGCGCTGTGTGTGAGGATGTGCTGCTGAAGGCTGATGAGGAGCTCAGCAACCTGAGGAACAAGCGCTCTCCAGAGTGAAGGACTGACAGGAGGAACAGACACAAACGCGTTACTTCTCACGCACTGCATTCTCATGTAACGCCGCAGTGACAGCGGAGAATAATAATAATAATAAGGCAAGGCGAGTTTATTTATATAGCACATTTCATATACAGAGGTAACTCAAATCTTTACGAAAATTAACCATGGTTTTGCCACACTAACCATAGTTTAACCATGTTATTTGTAGTAAAACTGTGCTTATACAAATGGTAATCAATACGCCAAAAAACCATGGTTACTACACTTTTGCTACAATAAAATCATGCTTAATGTTCGTGAGCAAAGTGCATTACAGAAAAAGAAAAAAGTTTCATGAGATATAAAAATAAACAGATACAATACAAGTAAGAAGTAAGACCTGAAAAAGAACGAGTTCAAATGAAATAAGACTCAGCATTAAGAGAGATAAAGGGATTAATAATAATACTGTTTTGGCACTTACTGTATTGCAAAACACTTTTGCTGGTGCATAAGGTTTGTCATTATAGATGTAATAACAGAAAAATTATTACAGATGTGATTTCACGCAGCAATTTTTAAAACATAAGTACAAGGTAAACCCCGAATGAGTGCGTTCTGTGGAATTAGTCAGCAGTTAAAGGGCCCGTGCAGCTGAACTGACTACACTTCCCACAGTGCAGTGCGGCGGTGGGTGTCATGTGATGCTTGTAGTCCGCCGGCGCTCGCTGAGCTCGGGCAGAGCGCTGTGTGTGAGGATGTGCTGCTGAAGGCTGATGAGGAGCTCAGCAACCTGAGGAACAAGCGCTCTCCAGAGTGAAGGACTGACAGGAGGAACAGACACAAACGCGTTACTTCTCACGCACTGCATTCTCATGTAACGCCGCAGTGACAGCGGAGGTAACGTTACTTCGTTACAGCTTTCTTCAGTAACGACGAACGTGAGTACACACTTATATACACCATATATATATATAATAATAATAATGATAATAAAAGTTTGTATGTGTGTGTACTTATGGTATATATAAATACACAAACATACATGCATATATTTTTAATGTATTTACCTGTATAAATTCAAAAATAATTTATATTATATATAAATATTCATATTTTATATATATATAAAAAACATTTTTCTTAAATATGTGCATGCATGTGTGTGTATTTATAAATATATTCCATAGATATACTCAGCACACACACATATATTATGTAAACCAAAACGTTTATTTTGGATGCGATTAATCATTTGACAGCACTGATTATATTCACATTTAGATGTATGTGACCTGTTGAAGTCGTCGTAGGTGTGCACTTCACCTGTTTGCCGGTCATCCACATTCAGTCCTAATATTATTGATTTCGATATTTTGATATCTCTCTGTTAAACTGGTTTTAAAAGAGCACAGTGTTTCAAGCACATTCTGTCCTGCTGATGCTGAAGGTAGTAATCGGCTCGTATTGAGACACGTGTTATTTGTTTGATCTCGGCTGACAGAGAGTGGTTTCTGGTTGAGTATGTGACCCTGAAGCATGTTTTTCTGAGGTGTGTGTGTGTGTGTTTAGATAGTGGACGTGTTTTAGAGCGGCTCTTAGTCCCGAGCAGAATTGCCTCTATTGTTGAGTCCCCCCAGCGTCCCCCTCTCTCGAACACCTCCTCCACAAACAAGACCTCCTTTCTCCTCTGGAGAGGGACCCTCGACTCTCAGGGCCAGCACTGACGGCGGGACGCTCCTGCACAAAAGAGGCTGAAGTGTCAGTAAAGTTGGTGCACCGGAGTGCCGCTCTGTCCCGTCCTGAGAAGGACAAAGAAACACTTTGTGTCAGCCAGGGGGCCCTTGACTAACCCCCAGGGTCTTCCCTTCTCTCCTCTTCCTCATCCTGTTATCTTAAACGAGGAGCGTGTGTTCGTGTCTTTCAGAAGCACGCGACTCTTCTCGCACACGAACTGCTCTTGCTAAAAGTCAGCCAGGGAGAGTTGGGTTTGGGCTCATTTCAGCGGTCGGCCCCGGTGCTGAATATCTGGCGGTGTTCTTGTGGTAAACACAGGGTGGAGGTGTGCTTGTGCGCCAGTAGCGCTGCAGGTGTTTACTGTGCTATCATCTAACACATCTGTGGTACACCACAAGAGAAACGTACATGTGCGGTCAGACAGGATCTGCAATCTGTGTGTGTGTGTGTGTGTGTGTGTGTGTGTGTGTGTGCGCCGGCAATCTGCATCTGTCAGGAGATCCATAAACTCATGCTCAGCTAAAATTACCACGCTTACTTTCCAATATGTGTGCTGTTAAACCAGGTGTTATTAAGGCAGCAAATTGCATATATATATATATATATATATATATAGGCTATATTATTTTAATTGTTTAAAGCTGTTTTGAACGAATCGGGTGAACCAATGATCCAATGGCGCATTCACTCAGAGATCCGTTTACTTCATTTCTGAATGAATCAGATGTTTGAACGAATCAAATCAATGACTCATTATTACATGAATGACATTTACTGCCACCTAATGGCCGTTTTTAGGGGTGCGACGATAAATCGCTAATGCATCGCCATTCTCTCTTGAATCGATTCTGAGCTTAGTTTTTAACAGCAGATGGCGTTGCGTGCTTTAGAAATAGCTGTACTCTGATGCTTCCAGTTCCTTATACACGCACCATTTAAACCTAAAATAATCATTCATAAAGTTCGAAAAGCTTGAAGCAAATTACAAGGATGTTCACAGTGGGCTGTTTACATTAATCTCGCATCATAAAAGCCGAGATGCAAGTACATTTAACCAGTTACATGACTCAGCCGAACGTACAAGCGCTCTTCATCGTGAGCATTTGAGTGCGTGGTTAAAAACTAGCCTAGAGCGCCGTCTGCTGTTAAAAACTAGCCTAGA